CCTGCGCACAGATGGTGCAAAAGCAGCGACTGGCCGAACGATCGGAGTGATCACTAAAATAAAATATAGGAAGGATTGCAGCAGCAGTCATTGTGTTCTCCACAGACATGCTTTAGCTATGAAACAAATGCTAGTCTCTTTTAGGAAAGTTTTGGATGAGTCTGATCAAATTTTAATTATAATAAGTCGCGGCCATTGAAGTCAAGACTTTTCATTGTCACATGGACTTTTCATGCCATTCATTGTCGATATGGGAAGCCTTCATCCTTCCCTTTTTCACCATACATAAGTGAGGTGCTATCTCGTGGGAATGTACTTTCACGTTTAGAGGAATTAAGTTATTTAGTCTTACTCTGTTGACGGACCACAATGTCATATTGGACAACGTTTTCTATGATGAGGAATGGCAATGTATACTGTCATAATTATCAGATATTTCCATTAAAATGAATGGACTTTCTTTGAAAGAGGAAAGTATAACTTTAGATGCTAATGACAAAGTTCGCGCCTTCAAAAAAAAAAAAAAATTCTGTTTTGGGTTGAATCTGTTGAGAAGGAAGAGGTGGTGGTTTTCTGTATTAAATGATTTTTTAAAAGAAAACAAACCGGAGCTGCGATGATGTGGACACCTTCGAAGTTTGAAGCTTGACCACTACCTCCCAACAGTCGATGCTGCAAGACCATGAATGGGTGGTCAAACAGTTTTCAGTTTCGACAAAGCCATCCAGTCTATCCTGTGAATACGAATGTTTGATAGACATTACTTCAGACTCCACCTTGAAATCTACTTTCCAGTCCGATAAGTACCCCATTTTTGACTCCGTCCGGAAAACAAAAAATTTCAACTGCTCGTTGAAAAAGGAAAACGTGTTCTTCATCCATTTGCCACAACTTACCTAAGCGAATTTTGATTTTCTATCACCAAAACCGATACCGAAGCTGTAGACGCAGTGAACGCGTCTGTCTCCAGCTAGCAAAAATTAACCCAACATATCCAAATTGTGGAGGGTAAAATAACCTCACTTTTCCCATTAATTCATTAATCATCATGATGTCCGAGTGGATCGAGGCCACGATAGCTCAGGTGGTAGAGCAGCGGCGTATCTAGCCGAAGGTCGTGGGTTCGAATCCCTCTCGTGCCATTAACTTTTTTTCATCTCAACTAAAAACCTTAATTAATTGTAAAGTATTAATTGGTCAAGCGGACCACAAAATTAGTGAATTTAATTAATCATTAATGTTAATAAATTTTTACTTTTGAATTTGTCTCAAAATTTACCTGCCAATTGATTCCGTTCTGTTCAATTTGATTTTTGTGGCCCGCATTTTGTAAATAAAGTTAAATATGTCAATCTTGTTTTCGGGGTGTCGGTGGCCGGAACGGTTGACATGGCGCTCATCACTGTAAGGTGAAAGTCCTGGGTTCGAATTCAGCGGCCCCTGCCGTCTTGGGCATTTTTTAAACACCGGCACCCCGAGGGTTCGTATTACCTCGTACTTGAAATACCCTCGTAAAAAAATCACTATTGTTGGAAGTGAATTCTAATTTTTTTCCGGTTTTTTGAGTTTTCATTGAGTAGTAGGTTGGAAACCCTTGCCACTGAAAAGGACTTATTGTTAAATGGGTTTTAGAAAATTTCAACATGTGATATTTCTTCTGTTTAACACCATTGACAACCATCTTAAATCTAAACAAAAGGTATACTTTAGTAGAAGTATATAGCATTTTTTAAAATTGTTTCATCATGTACAATTTGGGGGGAAGGGGTGTCGGTGGGAATCGAACCTACGACCGCTTCTTTTTTATATAAAAGCAGCGTTGTCCGCAGAGGACTTTTACGAGTCATGTAACATGGGTTTTTCGCCGGGAGGGCGTGAAGGTGTATTTTAAAGTACAAAGTGGTTTACAGACAAGGTTGCATATTGAGCCCTTTTCTATTTACCCTCATTGGAGACCATCTGCCTTCTGTTCTGGATAATGTCATTGGTATATATCGAACTGTGTTGATCACCAATAAGATTTGAGTCTGCTAAAAGTTAACAGTAAACTCCAGAAATCAAAGATGTTTAGGAGAAGGGTAAATTGGGTTTGAATAATCATTGGTTATTTAAAGGTGAGTGTGATGTATATTGTATTGTCGACGGCTTTCTTGTTCCAAACACCTTGAGCAGAAAACCTCTACTGCTAACATTGCTATAAATGAAACGTGAAAGTCACTTATCTTGAAAGAAATTGTGCTTATTAAAGCCCTTCAATGTATTTAATTTACTCTTCGTTTATAATTTTCCCTCAATTGCTAGTTTGTTCTGAATTCCCTTTTGAATCTTTCTAAAGAACAGATACTCGGTGGAACCTCACGTTATGTTTGTACGAAAGAACGTTTTAAAAGAAGCGGTAGTAAGTAGTCTGGGTTCCTGGACATGGCTGGAGGGACCAGACATATCACGATCCTTTGATGCTAAAGGAATAATTAATATGGCAAAGAAAAATGGCAGCGTCAGTGGAATTGATCGTCATAGATGCGGTCGATAGGAAGCACCTTGAGAGTCTATGGATCATCATAATGCGATTCAGAATTGGCAATACACGGTCGACACATGGACACTTTGGTATGATAAAACCGATTCATAATTTGTTCAATGCTTCCTTGAATACAGAACTCTTTCCTCATTGGAAAACCAATTTTATTGTGCCATTATTTAAAAATGGCAGCAGGAACGACATAATTAATTATAGACCTATAAACAAATTGTCAATTATCCCTAAGATGTTAGATAAACTAATTTATACAAAAATAAATCCATTGTTTAAAGATATTACTGATGAGGACCAATATGGTTTTGTCAAGAATTAATCAACTCTAACAAATCTCTCATCGTTTCAACAGGATATACTCGATGCCTTTCAAAATAAAAACCAGGTAGATGCAATCTACACTGATTTTGCGAAGGCCTTTGATAAGGTAGACCATGGTCTACTTTTTTATAAACTAGAAGTGCTGGGTATAGGTGGCAATTTCTTACATTGGTTGATTGACTATTTATCTGGCAGAATACAGGTGGTATCTATTCAGTTAAGGGCCATTAGTGTAACCTCTGGGGTACCTCAGGGTGGCCATCTTTTACCTCTTCTCTTCAACATTTTCATCAACGACATTGTTGAGTGTTTTTCAATGTGTAAATTTAAGCTGTTCGCAGATGAGTTAAAGATATATAGAGTAATTAAGTGATTAGAAGATTGTGTTAGTGTTCAATTTGTAGTGGACAACCTAATTAATCGGTGTGATAAAAATAACTTGTACTTGAACATTAACAAATGCCAAATTATACGGTTTTATAGAATTTCTAACCCAATTGTATTTAGTTTTAATATTTGTGATATAAATTTAAATGAGCAAAAATCAATAAAAGATGTAGGAGTCATCTTTGACACAACTCTATCTTTTACTGATCATATAGATGCTATTGTAAATAAAGCCGTAAAACTGCTAGGATTCATAAAAAGAAACTCCAAGGATTTCAACAATATAAATTGTATAAAAACTCTACACTTTTCAATTATTCGCTCTATTCTTGAGTTCAACTCTCCAGTTTGGTCTCCAAGTTATCTCAAATACATCAATAAACTTGAAAAATTCATTAAATTCACTAATTTCGTGGTCCGCTTGACCAATTAATTTATTACAATTAATTAAGGTTTTTAGTTGAGATAAAAAAGTCAATGGCACGAGCGGGATTCGAACCCACGATCTTCGGCTTCATACGCTGCTGCTCTACCGCTTGAGCTATCGTGACCTCGATCCACTCGGACACCAACTTCCTATCTCAACATCACCTTTTGAGTTTTCCCTCCTTTTTACCATTTTAATTACTCCCCTTAAAATAAGAAGAGATATTTATGATGTTATATTTTTATATAAATCGTTAAATTTTATTATAGAAAGCCCCGAGCTTCTGCTACGAGTTTGTTTAAATGTTCTTTTGAAATTAACTGGACATAAAAATTTATTTTCTATCCCTTTCTGTAATACTGTTTATTCTAAGCACCTATTATCAGAGCATGTAGGCTCAATGATCTATTCAGTTGATCTATTCTGTAATAGATTACAAAACTTTAAAAATAAAATTACATCCGCTTTGAGTGTTGCTCCAACATAAACGATGTATCGCATGTTATGTATTTGTACGTGATGTAAAATGGCTAAAGCCGTGAATAAAGATTATTATTATTATTATTATTATTATGACAGTTGCTTAACGTGTCCACTTAATTGAAATATGCCATTCCTTGACTTAACTCCTTGGGCTCGGCTAAATATAAATGTTCTTATTGCACGTTATATTATTATTTCATATACAACAAGTTTGGCGATAAATGTTTTTTGTTAACTGTTTCATGACAATTTATAAGCGTGAATGTGTGAGCAGTACAAGAACGTCGATGTCTTATATTGCAGCCTAGTTTATAAAGAGGGTGACAGAGGAATACGAGTACTCCATATGCTACTTTAGTGAGTAGTAAGTAAACAATAAAGTTCTACTCAACAATAATACCTAAATACACACTATCCAAGTATGAGTGTACTTAGGAGAAAGAAGGAGCGTTTGGGTTGAAATGACTTTGTAAACTACCAAAACACCTGCGTCCTGCTCAGGATTTTTTAAAATTTTTTTACCTCTATAAACCCTCAGGGTGCCGGTGGTTTTGAAAAAACAAAACATTTGTATGTCGGGTTCGAATGCAGGGCCGCTGGATTCGAACCCGGGACCTTTACCTTAAGTGACGAGCGCCATGTCAACGCCTAAACCGTTGCGGCCACCGACGCCCCGATATTATTAATACTAACCTGAAATGTGAATAAGGGATTGTGCGCATTGTTTTTTAGTACTATTTAATAACACTTTATTGCCATGTACAGATATCTTAAAACTAATAAAAATAATACTATATACAACTGTACATTTAATGTAAATTATGGCTACATTTGCTCATCAGATACATTAAATTCGCCAATGATATTGTTCTAACTACAACCTTAAATACGGTTTATCTACATTATTTACATCACAATTATTGGTTTACAACGAAAAGTCGACACTGTCTGTGACAGCCTTTTTTTTCTATATCTAATTTAAGTTAGTCGTTTTTAAATATTTTTCCAATTTACAAAAGTACAAAACATTTATGTGAAGGTTTCTTACACTTCCATTTCAGGCTGTATTGTTGATTAGGGGTCGTGATGTCATTGAAGTTTATTACTCTCTGAACGATTGGATAATATAATATTTTTTTTAGAAGTGTCGCTTTTTGACTTTTTTTTAAAGGGCGCCGTGCATCGTCAATAAAGCGTATTCCGCATACTTTTTTAAATTAATTTATTTATAGATATTTATCATATTTTTGTTAATATTTACACTAACCCGAATTTCTGCCAGATTTATTGATAAAAATTCTCATTTCAGAGTAAGTTTTTGTTATTAAAAGAAAAAAATCAGACCATTTGTTTTGTAAATATTTGGTAGTGGTATTAGGTTAGGTCAGATTAGGTTAATTAGGGTCAGTTTGTAAATAACATTTGTCCCCAAGACCGGGTGTTTAAAAAGGCATCAATATATTTTTTCTTCACAATTCCATCGGTCTGTGGATTATTCGTCCAGTGAGGCAAAACAAATAATTAAGTAACCAAGGTGGTGAAATCCTTTAAGTGGGATTGAAGTGGAAAATGGTGGGAATGGGGTTTTACAGTGGGGTGGGGCTTCATTCGCGCCTGTCAACTGTGCTTTTATGGATTTCATGTCCTCCTTTGACCAAATTGTCACAACCTTTCCAAAAAGTACAATTTCTGGTAAAGCGTTTTTTTTTATAGAAAGAAAATTATTTATTGTCCGTGATTGATAAAGGCAATGAATGTCCCAGTTTCGTAATTGTGCAAATCAATCTACTCGATGGCATGATATTGATTAACTTGTTGAAAATTATGTAAAATATGCGAGAGATAACCTTTTCGTAATTACTAAAATATCTTTCGACTCGGACAACTCTATAAAAAAATTAAAATCTCTGTTTATTCTCTTGTTCCTATCTGGATGGCATCAGTTCATCGAGACTTGTCAGGCCAGGCTGATCAGAGTCGACAAAACTGGTTCATCGTCTCGCAGACCTCAACAAAAAATCTTACAAAAGATTAAGTGTCTGTAAAATAATAATAAAAAAGAATTTCACTCTTGTCAGGAGATTAAAGTTAATTATTGTCCAGTAAAGTGAAATTGTTAAAAATAAACTGAGATCAGAATTGTTTAACCCTATCATGACAACTTACATTTTTTTATTGGTTCGGAGATTGAGTGTCGCTTTTCTCTTATAAATTATTTTCCGGTAGATTTTACCTTTCCAATAGCCTGCAACTTCACATTATCATTTAATTATCGATGCCAATTTGATATCTGGTTTAACCGACATTTTTAATTTATTATATTCAACTCTTACTACTTAGCTTAAACTACAAAGACAACAATTTGAAAAGAAACGAAAAAAACAACATTTTCCGGTCTCTGTTCAGAGGTAGAACACCAACGCTTTCGAACAAAAAAAAAGTTAAATTCTGTTCTGCAAACATAATAAATTGGAAGTCGACAGACGGATTGTTATCCATGTCGTACTGTACTTTCGTAATTTGTATTTTTTGTTCTTTCTTTTTTTTGTACAAAAGGAAAAATAAATTAAAGTATATATATAAAAAAATTAAATTTTTATCACATGTTTAAACTGTATTATTGGTTATAATCACTTCCGAAGGCAGCCAAGGTGCTGTTATGCCCACTGTTTTGGCCTTCCTTTGTCCGAGTCGCCGACGATGTCGATGTCTTGATCCGAATCATCAGATGAATTGCAAGTCAGAGGCATTCCGCCTCCTCTCGAATAATCCATCGGCCTTTCTCTATCTGAAATAGAAAAAAGAAAATCTGTAAAAATATCTGTGGTGTATATAGTCCAGTGAAAAATTAGCTGAGGATAAGAATAATACAGATAAATGTTTTTTAAGACAATTAATTAAGGTTTTTAGTTGAGATGAAAAAAAGTTAATGGCACGAGAGGGATTCGAACCCATGACCTTCGGCTAGATACGCCGCTGCTCTACCACCTGAGCTATCGTGACATGAAGTGGTAGAGCAGCGGCGTATCTAGCCGAAGGTAGTGGGTTGAATCCCTCTCGTGCCATTAACTTTTTTTCATCTCAACTAAAAACCTTAATTAATTGTGTTGTATTAATTGGTCAAGCAGACCACGAAAGTAGTGAATTAATGTTTTTTAACTTAACCCAACTGTTTACGCCAATGTAAACATTTTTTATTTAACGACATTTGTTATCTTAAATTTATCATCTTGAAAAATTGTGAAAAAGGAAAATTTGTAAGGATCAAGACGCAGGAGGGAGAAACAGCTCAATTTCCAGCAAGACGTCGTAAAAAGAGTGAGTCACTGCCTGGCTTTCAACCTGTACGCACGAACGTACATCAGCTATCTTCAGCGAGTCAGTCCCTGGTTCTCGACCTGTACGCACAAACGTACATCCCTTGTCTTCAGTGAGTCACTGCCTGGTTTTCGACCTGTACGTACGAACGTACAACAGCTGACTTCAGCCAGTCGCTCCCTGGGTTTCATCCTGTACACACGAACGTACATCAGCTATTTTCAGCCAGTCACTGCCGGGTTCTCGACCTGTACGCACGAACGTACATCAGCTTTCTTCAGTCAGTCGCTCTGTGGTTTCCGACGGGTACGAACGAACGCACCTTTGACCTCGTCCGGCGAGTGGCTCCACCCCCAATCTCAAGCTCCCAGATAAGCACCAACTTCTCGTTTGATCTTCCCTGTCGTGAGCTGACAACAAGGCGTACGAACGTCCTTAGTCATTTTCTTCTCAACATTGTCATTCTGTATATGAACTTATCTCTCTCTCTCTCTCTCTCTATATATATATATATATATATAGCTATATTTCTTCTAGTTAACTTTGTTTGTTTTCTGGCCAGATTCTAGTTTCCGTATTTATAACATAAATTGTGAATTAATAAATTTAATTATCAAACGAATTATTAAGCTATTTTTTATCCATCAAATCCTTTACGCAACAGCCGGCAACTATCCCTGGTAGCGCCGGACTTGGAGGGTAGATATCCAATACTTTCTCCCGCCGGCGTCTACGAAACAATGAGGTTTTCCAATATGAGGGACATGGATTCAACCAGATCTCTGAAATAATGATGGAACTTGGAAATTTTTAATTCCTACCTCTGCAGGTTTCACATGAAAGAAAATCGTTTGTGTTCCGACTGCGGGATAGAAGATGATGTCCTAGCATCGGCAAATTTGGGATATATGGGGCTTGCAGGATAACGTCTGATCAAGGGCGATTCCAATGTTCTTGTCAATGGGATAGAAGGAAATAAGGTGATTTTTTTAAATCTTAAACTGAAAGATAGGAGGTAAGGGTTGGAGGATGAAACGCTTTTCTACGTTCTTGATAAGCCAATTTTCAACGGAGCTAATTGAGTTTAAATTTGAATTTTTACAATTGCTGCGTGCAAGCCAGGAGGTGGAAAAGAAAGGGAAAATTTGGGTGCCAACTGTATAAAGGTGATGTTATGGAGGGTAAAAATAATAAAAATAACAAACCACCTAATTGTCTGTACGACCCTTGGCGACCCGGCCTATATGGGGTCGACGTTGATTGCATTTTGCCTTGTGTAGGACAGAATATATAACTTACAAATGGTACATGGCATAAAAACAAATTTCTGAGTCGTAATTATTCAATAAAATATTCGCAATAGTTGTAAAAAAATAAGTAATATACGCATTGTTATACTCTAAGAAGAAGAAGCAAGCTAAAATAATTTGTTACCAATCATTGTGAGGTCGAATATCTTGGGAATGATTCACCTAGGCCTGAGAAGAAATTTAAGAATTTTTTGTTTACGAACGGTCGAAATCTTATTGGGTTGTTAATAATATCAATTTTCATTATCATACTTGATCATCTTTGTATATTCTATAAAAATCTTTTTGTTTACATTGTTTCTATTATTAAAATTATTAAGTATTATATTACACTAGTAAAATTAACTGTACTAGTGGACTTCCCAACAATGTGTAACCTTTTATTCACTTATCTCTAAAGCATCAATCTTATCAATTATGACCTCATTACTTTTTCATTATATTTTTACATTTTCTTTTTTTTACATCTATCTATAATATTGTACACAATTTTTTCCTTTATCGTTTTGCAAATTTACATTATTATTATAGATATTTACGTATACTTTTTCTAACCAATTTAATCTGGTCTCATTTTTTTTCTTTTAAAATACATTTTTAAAATGTTGTAAGCCGGTCCCCGTCTTGGAATAAGTGTTAGTTGTTAAAGTAAGAAAAAATTAGGGTAAACGATGAAAGGGAACAAAGGTTGTAAATCTGAAGACTAAGAGAGGCCTATAAAGAGGCTCGGGAATGGAGCGGACCTGGAGGCAAAGAACGGCACATTGCAACAAACACAGGAAACCACGGACGCTGGCAATGGGAGAAATGGTGTACTTACATGTACCGGCAAATATGGGTATGTCCAGCAGAATTTCCAGTAATTCGTCGTCGTCAGCCGGCCTGTTTCAGTGCCCTATTCTTGTAAGAAGATGGCGGAGTGGAGGAAAAATGCAAGTGGAAGGTGCTGAACCCACAGTACAACCCGGCTTGGATTTGGGATACAGAACACAGCACATGGATCTATAGTCTGCCGGAACCCACGGTGCTTACGATGCAGTGTCGAAAGAAGGGAGTGACCGAAATAACCCTGCAGGGTGCAGGGGAACTAAAAGTGGCCCCGGAGTGTGCGATGCGAACCCCAGACTACTACTTCCTACCGATGTCGGAAGGAAACACGGAAATGGCATTAAAGCGGAGAATTACCGTCCTTCCTCTCTGTCGAATACCAGAGTGGAACAGAGTATTTAGCAGGTACGACGTAGAAGAGTCAGCCCTTGAATTAGAAAAAAAGGGAAGGTCGATTCCAGCCGATGGAGTACTACAGAAATACGGCTAGATGCTTTAGCAAAATTATTGGACCAGATGGCAGAAGCACGGTTCTTGAAGTGAACACCCACTTGGGACGGAGCCAGTGTCGCCATCGCCTCTCTAATCGTAATTGGAGCCGCAGCAGGAATTCGGTACTGGACCAGCTGTACCCACAAAAAAAGACGAAGGCCCGGAAGCCTAGAAGGAATACTTCTACGGGAGCAGACAGAACCCCGGGCCACAACGGAGTTAAGTACCAGAGACAGGAATAGTTAGTTTAGTGAACTGTAGAATTTTAGTGAATTTGTGTTGGAGGTAGTGATTAGATATAGTAAGTGTTGCGCTGTAAGGGAACACTTGTTGGTGGCGGGGGTGATGTAAGCCGGTCCCCTTCATAGGGATAAGTTTTACTTGTTAAAGTAATAAAAAATTAGGGTAAGCGATGATAGGGAACAAAGCTTGTAAATCTGAAGGGGCTATCACCCAGACCGGAACGACGTGAACCCTCAAATCTGGCAAACATAACTTTGAAATAATTACACCGTTGGGCAGATAGATAAGAACGTCGAAGGATGTCGCAGACCCAGACTGGAACCACGTCATGTTTCCCACGAACCTGGAGAACATAAAGTTGCAAAAGTTGGAGAACCGATCAAATAAATAATTATCGTCTAGTTATTTAGTGCTGAAGGGTTGTCACACGGTCAAAAATATGTAGCGACTTGTGAGCGACACCCGTCTTCGCCGGTTCACCCGACTTTTGATTTTCCTTTCCACCCTTACTCCGGTAGAGAAACTGGTATAAAAGGGATGACTGGGAAATCAAAAGTCAGTCTAGACCAAGGGCTCAAACCAGTGAGTCAAGCTCAAGGGCTCACACCAGTCAGTCAAAGATTCACCTCAAGCAGTGAACAGTCGACTCCAGGAGTCGATCCGGAAGAGAAGCAGCCACACTCCGTCTGCGGAGACAAGGGGACTTAGCCAGCCAAAGCCATCGTAGACCAGCCGTTGCGACTCATCGGATCAGGACGACGGTCGAGAAAACCGAAAGGCGCTGGATATGTTGAGGACGCTGATCGTGGCGATCATCGTTTGGGGTAAGTCCCTTTGTTAATAGATTCATCCCAGATTTAGAGTTGTGGCTGACTTTTAGATTAAGATTCTGTGGTTTGAGTACAGTTAAGAGACTGAATTGAGTTACAATAAATGTTAAGGAGTATACTCTCTGTACCTTCCCCTACACAAGAATAGTAGCGACGCGATTACGCCGACTCTTCTCTTGTCGCTTAGAGAAAAGCAAGCGAATATTGAGAGATTATTCGGCCGCCGCGCCGTCGTCCACGTACAATGTATGTCATGTTCATTACTATTTATGTGTTGTGAAAGACCTGTGTCATTATTATTCTTATGATGTTGGTATAATCTATTTTTTAACAATTGAACTATTTGTCCTACCTATGTCTTTAACATTAGAATTATACATTTTATCTTTAATTTTATGTATAGGTGGTAGGCAATTCCATATTTTATTTTTCATACACTGATTTATCATTAAATTAATATCTATTGCTTTTTATTTTTTTTAAAGAATGTTAATATTTTTCTCTTATACCTTGTATATCATACCAGCACAATTTTTTTGTTGATAATACCATATGTTGTTATTTTTTTTCAGTTACTATACTGGAACGCGATGCTGGGGGACGAAACTGTTCTCATATGTACTGATTCCCTCAGCGCGGTGGAGCCCTGAGAGACCCCCCTATACACGGGACCCACTGGTCGGCAAAATCCAATTAAAATATGACATTGTGCGCGCAGGGAAAAGGGTGGTTTTAGCCTGGATTCCAGGGCATTGGAGGAGAACGAG